ATGCTCATCTCATCATCCGATTCAGTCTCGGATTGCTCTTCTTCTTCTCGAGCCTTTAGAGCTATTCCTCTTTCTCGTCTAGCACTCTCGGCATCTTGTTCTTCTTGAAGACCTAGTTCATATGTCAAGAGTGATCCAGTCAAGTCTTCAAGCGTCATGGTGGATAGATCTTTTGCTTCTTCAATAGCCGTGGTCTTAGGCTTCCACTCTTGGGGCAGGCTTCTCAAAATCTTTCTCACTTGATCTTCCACGGTAATTTCTCTTCCAAGGGCTGAAAGCTCATTGATAATGTTAGTAAAGCGTGTAATCATATCCTTAATTGACTCTTTTGGCTTCATTACGAATAATTCGTAATTACGCATGAATATGTCAATCTTAGATTTTTTTACACGTGAGGTTCCCTCATGAGTGACCTCGAGCAAATCCCACATTTGTTTTGCAGTCTTGCATCCTAGAACCCGATTGTGTTCGGCAGGACCAAGACCACAAATTAAATATTTAAGGGCTTGGGCATTATGCTCGAGTTTCTCATAATCTTCAGAAGTATATTCAACTTTAGGTTTAGGAACAACATTACCTTCGGTGTTTCTCTTTGTGATGACATTATCACCACTTTCAATTACATTCCAAACCTGGTAGTTATCGGCCTTGATAAAGTTTTCCATCCGACTCTTCCAAAATTGATAGTATTTGCCATTGAACAATGGTGGTCGTTGAGTCGAGTACCCTTCTTCCAATCGGTCAACCGTATTCATTTTGCCGGATCTCTTCCCAAGGTATTAGCCTTTATGTGGTGAAGACCGGCTCTGATACCAATTGATGAAAACGGTTAGCAACACAAGAGGGGGGGGGTGAATTGTGTGTGTGTGGAACCGTGGCAGTTTTTCGCCGAGTTCTAGTGTGAGATAAAGGGAATTGCGAAAATAGTAAAGTGCACAAGAATTTAACGAGGAAAAATCCCTTGGCTCAAAGGGATTGAAAAACCTCGACCTCCCTCGGAGGAATTTTAAACAACTTCACTAAACAAGCCTTTGAAAGAGTTACAAGAGTGATTCTCCTAATCTACCCTTGAGCCTCCCCAACTCCATCCTCTCTAGGAAGAGTTATGCATCTCTACCTTGCGGGTAGAGAGCCTCTCAGCTTTATCACAAAGCTCTCACACACACTTAACCCGAGGCAGCTACTCTAGCCAATTAAGCCTCAAAATTCCAAGTACAATATGAAAGGGAAAAGAAAAAGTCTGTCTAGAACTCCGAGCGGGCAGTTTCAGGCGCCAAGGACTTGATCTTTTTCTTGAATGATTCTTCTAAGTATTTTTCACAATTCAGCACCCACTTTTTCTCTTTGTCTTTTGCATATATATAGGCACCTTTTTGTATCCGTTGGAGCATCACCGATCCTGTCTTAAGGCTCCTTTCCTTTTTTAAGGATTTTCTTTATTTGGACTCCATACCTTTTACAAGATCTTCAAGATGGTAAATTATCATAATACCGAGTAAATAAATTGCTTGCCATATGCACCGATAATATATCGCTGAGAGAAGCTATGGTCAACAAGTAAAAGAATATCCACTTAGCATATATAGCCATGCAATTAATACGAAGAGATACTTTCTAAAGCTAAGTATTTTCTTCCCTTTTCGTGAGTGGATTCAATCATTAAAAAAGTTTCCATTTAATTAGTCTTGTGCTAAATGAAAGTCTCGTTCAAATTTCAAATCATGCTACAGAACTTCTACTAATGCACAAAAGGCAATAATTCCATGCAGGCCATATTCAAATATTCAAATAATGCCACATCGTTCCTTTGTTCCAATATGCTGAGTCATCAACAAAACTATTCAGTCAACACATTCTTACAATCTTACTTGTACAATCGATGGAGGAGCTGGGCGGGGGCATGCAGGGGCAAGCGCCCCCCGCTTCGGGCAAAAAAAAAAGTAGAATATTTTCTTTTAGACTGTTTTCAGTCCCAGACCAGACCAAACCAGATCAGACTAGACCAGATCAGATCAGATCAGATCAGATCAGATCAGACTAGACCAGACCAAACTTCCAGAGTTATAAAATACACAGAGACCAGACCAGTTCAGACCAGACCAGATCAGACCGGACCAGACCAGACCAGCAAATTTCAGTCCAAAAGAAAACATCCTTATAATAGATTTAAAGATCCTTTTTTTCAAATATGAATACTCATTAAAGACAATTTTACATTAAGTATTAAAATAAAAAGCAAAATCTTTCGGGAAACGTGTCTCTATGAATACAAGTACGTATTGACTGCAACGTACGTCACTCATTTGAATGCAAGTGTGGATTGTTTTAGACCTTTAATGCCATACGAGTTGACTTTTCGTGGTTATAGTGCAAAAGAGTATTGTGATTAACGAATATGTTGTCACATTTCTTGAAACAACATGATCAAAACTTTCTCGAGACTATGTTGGATTCCCTCCTCAATGGGAAAATTCATGAGAATTTTAGAATTTACAAAGATGTCTACGATTTTGTATATGCGTGTAGAGAAGTAGCTAGTATTGAATGTTCTAGAATAATATTGGTAAGTTTTCTATAAAAGTGTGGAACTCACTAAAACCGTGCGGGAGAGTGTGGAAGCCTCTAAAACATTTTGAAGAATTGTGGAGTTCTCTAGATCCCTCCATTAGATTAGAGAAGCTTGTGGATACTTCTTGGAAGAATGTAGATGTGTAATGGTGTATAAAAAAAATATAAAGGAGATTTGATGAGATTAGTATAGATAGGGGTAAGACTGCTCATTTTTATGAGAACCTTTTGAGTTTTGAGTGTGTAGATGAGTGTACAAGAGTCCTATGAGCTCGTTTTCCTATGCAAAATTTTGAAAATATTGAAACTTGTACGATTGATTTACCCAGATTATAGATATGAGTTAAGTAGAATGTAATGACTAATTTGTGCTAATGTATTATGTTTTTTATTGTTTTTATTATATTTTGAGAAAATACACTATAAATATTAGCCTTTGGTACGCCCCCTCAAAAAATCTCTGGCTCCGCCACTGTACAATAATACAAATACCATACTCGTACCCAAAACTAAGTTTTTTTATATATATGCAATTTTTTTTGTGTTTCACCATAAAAGAAAAAAGTTATCGGACGAATAAGGTACGTAGTACTCCACTACTCCGTATAATTTTGTAATAATGATACACGCACCTTACTTTTTTTCTTTTATAATACCCGTGCTTTGGCAAATTTTTCAGTCTCTTGCACTTTATATTTATTAATGTTATCCAGAGAACTTTAATCGTAATTTTTATTTATTTGTAAGAAAAAGTATTATATTGTGCGATCTTGTTTCTTTTGCATACATGGGGTCCATAATGTCCATTCAACATATCTTTGTATGGTTTATAATAGCACCTTTTAAACTATGTTATGGGTTGAATAGGCCGGTCCGCCGGTGGACCGGTGGTGGTGCATCAGGGATGGCAAAAAGCAATTCGGAGGGACCGAGAGCACATGTAGAAAACATTTTTCTAATGGAAGTATTTCGGATATATAACAGCTACACAACTTATTACTTATTGAAAACTAAAAACCAACATGTCATTTTAAAAATTTAGAAATAGTGATTCTTACGAATGAATACAAATGGTTTTGAATAAAACGTTTGTTAATTTTTATCTAAAATATTTTTTGGAATTTATCTAAAAAAAAAGGTTACAGTAACAATAAAAATAGTTTTACACAGGTACAGTCTTCTCTGTATTTAATTAAGTGAGTTTCAATATCAACAAATAATATTGAAATACTCTGTACAATGCACTCTCCATCCAATTCAAGGCGTCCAAAATAACTTCTCTTTGATCATGTTTTGTCCATGTTTGGCCATTATTACCATTTAAGACCATAAGTTTTACCGAGTAAAATTTATAAGGTGTAGTAATGGACAAAAATTTATTGAAGTACGTGTAGTAATGTTTTTTTTAATATTACTAATTAAAATATAATGGACAAAAATGTGACTTAATAATAGTGATCATAATATTGTTAAAAATTTACGTCACACTAACTTACATTTAGTTACTACGATGTAAATTTTGAACATCATTGTAATCACTAATACTTAGTAAGTAATATTTTTGTCCTTCATGTTTTAAAGAGTAATGTATATATAATTTTTTCTAATATTTTTTCATAAAAGGAATAAAAGGATTGAAATTTCAAACTAAAATTGACATTCTTTTAAAATTATGTTAATTGCTGCAATAATGAAATTATTATATGCCATATTTCAGCATTAACGTTTTATTGAATGTGTACTTTCTAATGAAAAAGAGCTTCCAATTGCATTGATTTATTAATTACAAGACTAAAATGGTAGCGAGTAACATGTCGGAACTAATAATAGGCATATCCAAATATCAGTGGATTAAAATTGCAAATTTTTCTATTGTAATATCAACGCTATAATTATGACACTAGTTGTTTTTAAAGTTCTTTTCGAAAATGTTACTGGAATAAAACTTATTCACACAAATATGATTAATAGTTACTATTGTACATGTATAATGTAGTGTCACGATAACTTAACTTTAAAAATGGAACATATCATGATTTTATTACTACTTTAATCATAAATATGTAATTATATGTTGTTTTTAGTTGTACAGTTTTGTAACTTAATTCTAAATAACTTTCAAATACTCCCTCCATCCCATTTTATCAGTTTCATTTTTTTTTATATTGTCCCAAAATAAGTGTTTCAATCCCCTTTAATTTTTGGAAAGAAATATGTGATTTACAATATTTCACTTTATTATAGTTAAACTTGAATAACAACTTTTACTTTTTCTACCACTTTATTAATAAGAATAACAAAAAAAATAGGACACGTAGAAGGGAACGTAGTAGTTACTAGTTAGAGTTGCACATTGACCCAATCATTATATTTTATCTGGTCGTCGTGGCATGGGTATACGGAGTATTTATATATTCACTGCTGATTAACAGTTTACCGGCAAAACATACACCGTGACACTGGGAAGAGGAGATGCAAGAACGGCAAACCTCACCGGAGCTAACACCCAGCTCGTCGGACCATCGGAAGACTTGGCATCCCAAACCCAAAAATTCGCCGACAAAGGATTCACCCAAACGGAGATGGTTGCCTTGTTAGGCATTCACACAATCGGCTTCGCCAGGTGTCCCCTTCTATGCATTGACGATTCCTTCGTCAATCCTGCTCGGGCCTCTTCCCTGCATTGCAACTGCCAAACAAGCCTTAACAACACGGATTTGGTCGGTCTGGACCCCACGCCTCTAACGTTTGACCGACGTTATTACGCCGACGTCGCAAACGGGCAGGGTCTGCTGTTCTCCGACGATGAGCTGATGAGGAGCAATGCGAGTAGCGCCGCCGTCAGGAGGTACCGGGATGATATGTCGGCTTTTTTGGATGACTTTGCCGCTGCGATGGTGAAGATGAGCAACCTGCCACCGTCGCCCGGAGTTCAGCTGGAAATCCGGGAGGTTTGCAGCCAGGTGAATGGAAACTTAAAGGTTGCGTCTATGTGATCCAAAGTAGAGTTTTCAGGTTAATAAAAGCGTGTTAAGTGCTATGGTGTGGTGAAATTTTGTTTGGGGGTTTGTAATTATTCCCATCTTGTTGTTTCCAATAAACAATAACATATCTAATCAGAAAATTGTAAATTTAATTTCGTATCACTATTGTATTATCCCAACTCCCAAGTACTACCTCCGTCCCATTTATATTGGGACGAAAGAGGGTGGCACGATTATTAAGAAAAGTGAGTTTGTGTGGTTGATATTAATTGATAAAGTAAGAATAAAGTAATAATGATTTAGAGCCACACAAACTTTGCCAAATATGGTATGAGACAATTTAAGTGGGACTTCCCGAAAAGGTAAAACGGGACAATATAAATGGGACGGAGGGAGTATATGTTTGTCATTAATCTTTGGGGTAATTCCAGAAATAGGAGTAAAAAAATTTGAAAATTTTAAAATAGGACTGCCATGTTTTTATTCCTAAAATAGAAGTATCAAGTATTACTGCCAATTTGAAAAATAGTGTCATGTTTAAAGTCTGGTACTGCCAAAACATGACAGTAATCAACCCTATTTTGGGAATAAAAACACGATATTCCTATTTTGGAATATACAAATGTTTTTAGTTCTATTTAGGATAATTTTCGTTAATATTTAAACTTATTTTCATACACATTAGTTCGTCATAATCAAGGACGGATTGGATGGGAGGCAGGACACTGAAATGGTAAAAAAATGAGAAAAAATTTACAGAACAAGATCGATCGTGATGATATGACCACAACCACAACATCAACAAAGCTCAGAAAGGAGGAAGGATGGACAACCTTATCCTCAGACAAGTGAATCAGATCACCAGAATCAGTAGCCACCTCCTCCTAAATCACCAGCTCAGCTTCTCATCCCTCTTGAGGAATTAGATGCTAACTAAAGAGGAGTACAAGCATGGAGAATGTGGAAACTGTCACCTGCAGAATAACAAGCTCAAAAATTTGACCCCATGATTAGGGACACATTGCCAAAGCATGGATGAACACTGGTGATCTTAGAACATGTGAGTCAATTGAAGAGATAACTAAAGTGTACTTTGCCAAGGAAGCAGCATTACTGGGCAAAACTCCCATTCAAGAGGACTTATCAAAACAAATTGCCCATCAGTCACTCTAACCAAGGAGACAACATGTGATATCAAGTGATGAAGAAGATAATCAAGGACTGCAAATGGCACTAGAGGAATCTATGTGAATCAATCATCCAACACCTGGAGAAACCTCTAAGGTACACATATCATCCTAACTTCCTTCCTCCACTATCAGTTTTGATGTGCTGTTACAAGCAACAGAAGAAAGAATGGGTGCTAAGAAGAAAGAGGTCCAACAAAAGATCATTGAACAACAGGTTCAAACACACCTAGAGATGGCCAAACAAATTCAATCCATCAACTCTCTCTTACATGAATTTAAGAGCGTCCAACAAGGAAGGTTGTGAAGAAAAAGAAGGTGGCTCATACAGCTACAAATGAAGAGAAGCCAGCTGATCATCTGACATTAGCTGAATCAGAGAAACCAGTTGATCACCAAGCTCCTATTCAACCAGAACCTGAAAAATCAGCCGATAAAAATCTTACTCAATCAGAAAATCCATGTGATCATCTCATTGCTGCCACAACAGCAGCAGAAAAACAGGAGCCTACTGACAAACTAACCTAGCACATAGTTGTTGCTCTACCACCTCCTTCCTCTACACCAACACCCATGCTTGAAATTTGCCAGGTACTTCAACTTCCTCCTCCTACACTGGATATCTCTTACCTTGATCCAGTGATAAAATAAATAAGGGAAGACAATGCAAATGTAGCTGCTCAATGCAAATAGGGCTACAAAAATATGGTAATAGGTGAACAAGTAGAAACTTCTGATGCCAAAAGGGGGGATGAAAGAAAGAAAACAAAAAGGAGCACTCTACTCCTCGAAGGAATATATATCAAATCCCCCAGAAGGTTCAAGGCTGAAGAAAGGACCTTGGAAAGCTCCTTCAACACAAGGGTTGACAAGAGGAAAGGAAAGAGCCATTACAAGACAAATGAACAAGGAAATCAGAATGACAGAAGAAAAGGTCAAAGGCAAGAAAGAAACCAAACAGAAGAAACCACAAGGATCTCCAACAAGGTCAATTTCCTCCATATCCAGCTTTGAAACAGAAGGAATTAAAGAAGTCCTTAAAGATGTCAAAGACTCTTCTGTTCCTTAAAATGTCCCTTGTGGTTTACACTTGATCATGCACCTTGTAATTGGTAGGTCCCTTGATGCACTTATTATAGACTTTAAACTTGATCATGTACCTTGTAATTTACGTATACATGCATCCCATGAAGCAAGGAAGTACTCATAAAAGAAAAAGGAGTACTCACATAAGAAGAAGTACCAAAACAATGAAAAGAAAAGGGGAACTAAAAGAGTTGACTGAATTAACAAAAAACAGAAGTCCACCGATTTTCAGGCAGCTGATTTTTAGATACACATTTTTCAGCTAAGTCAAAAGGTCTTCAAAATTACTCAGAGTAAAAAGCAAAGTAAAAATTATTTACATTTGCAACTTGTTTAAAAAAGAAAGTCACGAGATTCATACAAGTGGGCTGAGACTTTGTGCGAAGATTATAAGTCAACTCATACTCTCTTATTCAACAAAGTGTAAGCATGGGCTCAAGAATTGAACAAAAAGAGACTCAGGCTACTTCTAGTCATGACAAAAAGAGAGCATGCTGAAGACAGAAGATCAAGTTAATGCATCAATGTTCAAGATTGAGTTTTCTCAACCAACGAAGATATTCAACAACTAAGAAGTCTCTAAATACCCAAGGAATGTGATGAAGAAAATTCAGCAAGCTTAAGGCAATCAACACAATAATACCCTGAAGATCCTGCAAAAGAGAAAGTGTTAATTAATCACTCCACTCTTAGCTTGTTCACATTTCTTTAAGCTCTTAGACTAGTTCACTGTGAAAATTCATACGAGAGCTTAGAGTAGTTGAAAAAAGAAGTTGTAGCACCTTTGGAAGAATTTGTGATACAAATCCAAAGAGTGGGTAGAATAGGACATGAGTAGCTATTGAATCATTTTGATTCATTAGTGAAAAACCTAGGAGTTAGGTCTGAGTAACTTTTGAATCATCTTGGTTCATTAATGAAACACCTAGAGGCAAGAGTAACTTTGAGTGGGTTGTACTCCTTGTGAAAACCTGACAATTTATGCCTATGATCTAGGGTAAACTAGTCACTAAGTGTATTAGTTAATAGCTTAGTGGAAATCCATCTGAAATAGAGTGGGACTGGATGTAGGAGGATTACACCACCTCTGAACCAGGATATATCATTGTGTCAACCTCTTTAAGCTATTCTAATTACTAATCAAGCTCTACAAAACTCCCAGATAACAGCCTTCTCAAAACGCCTATTTCAATAGCCTCTTGTTTTTGCAAAAATAGCTTTCTCAAATCACTCTATGTCCATTCACAATTAGTGTCTATTCACAAAGCTACATTACATTGAAGTTATTCAATATTTTAATTCTAATAGTCATATGTCATTCAAGTTTTTGAGCTAATTAAACCTCGCTGTAAATGGAGATATTTATTATTTATATTTTAACTATTTTGCAACCACAAATAAGTGCTTAATAATTATTATTTTTTGAATAGTCTATCTTGTTTAAGTTGCTCCTTTTGTCTTTGTGTTCACATATCAGGTATGAATATGGTATGAATATACAAACATATAGGTCTTGGATTAGGGATGGAAACGGATTGTCTCCTGAATATATAAAAGGGGTCATTGATTTCATACATTATGCTATACATAATTCTGCCAATCGTAGATCAATTAGGTGACCATGCAAAACTTGTTACAATTTGGACTTCCAATCCCCTGAAAAAATCATAGTCCATTTATTCAAAGTGAGTTTTCTAGAATCATGCCTTGTTTGGACTAAGCATAGGATCGAAGGTTGACAAAAATCCGACACTTAGCACTTCACGTTCATAGTTTCATGACCACAACAAAATTGAGGACATGTTAAGGGATATTTATGACCGGTTAGACAATAATCCGAAGAGGTTAAGGGATGTGGTTGAAGATGCTAAGAAACCACTTTACACAGGTTCAAATTATTCAAGGTTGTCTGGGGTGATGTTTTTATTTAATATCAAGGGGAAATATGGGTGCTCTGATTAAGGGTTTACATCTTTATTAGAAGCACTTAATGACATATTGCTTTCTGATAATTCCATTCCCAAGTCAATGCATGAGGCTAAGAAAATAATGAAAGTCTTAGGATTAGATTATCAAAAAATACATGCTTGTCGGAACGATTGCATCCTCTTTCATAAACAACACACGATCTTGATAAATGTCATACAAGTGGGGAGAGTAGGTTTAAGGGAAAAAAGAATGGGGCTATAAATCACAGCCATAGAGTTCCTGTGAAAGTGTAATGATATTTTACTCCTATTCCGCAGTTCAAACGCATGTTTCAATCAGCCAACACAACCTGAAAACATGATTTCGCATGCAACCGATCGAGTGAGAGATGGTAAATTACGCCATCCAGCTGACTGTACAACTTGGCAGCATATTGATAAGATATGTTTAGACATGAGTAAGAATCTTAGAATCTCAGATTGGTTTTGTTAAGTGATGGAGTGAATCCTCAAAGCTCACTTAGTTCTAGATATAGTTGTTGGCTAGTCCAGTTAGTCATTTATAATCTTTCGTCTTAGTTGACCATGTAAAGAAAATTCATGATGATATCTCTATTAATAACTGGTTCGAAACAACCTGGAAATGATATAGATGTCTACCTAGAACCATTGATTGATGACCTCAAAATTCTTTAGAACGAGGGTGTAGATGTGCATGATGCATTTAAGAAGGAAATGTTCAAAATGAGGGCGATACGTATGTGGACTATTAGTGAATTTCTTCCATTCAGTAATTTATCCGGGTGTACGTACAAAGTCTATTATGAATATCCCATTTGTGGCCCAAAAATTAGTTCTACATATATGAAATTCGGTAAGAAATGCGTGTATATGGACCATCATCGTTTCTTACCTCATGACCATAAATCTCGAGAACTAAAAAAGATTTTCAACAACAAAGTAGAGAAAGAGGGACCCCTTGAAACCTTTTCAGGTCAAGATGTCCTCAAAGAGGTTGAATCAATAAACTACAAACCTGGAAAACACAAGG